TATATTTACAATTTATTGTTACAAAATTACAAATTAAGTATGTGCGCGTGTATGTGTATATTTGTCGAAGCATCTACCGAATAGGTCCGTGCTCAGCATAATGCTGCAGCGGCTGGACCGCTGTAATATGGATACAGTCATATATTTAAAGATATAAATAGGTGGTTAACTAACTATAAATTAATTTTTAACATTACTATCCAGACGGCCCTGGTGGTCTAGCGGTTTACCACACCAACTTACTTCCGATGGTCGCGGGTTCGATTCTTCGCATTGCGCGAACATTTGAATTCATGAGTATGATTGTTTGTGTCGGTCTGGATGTGCATTTACAAAAATTTAATCTATTTATTTGTATCTGTTGTCTACTACCCATAATAAAAGCTCTGCTTAGCTTGGGACTAGTACACGCCTGAAACATTATTATTATTACTGGCTGTACACGCAACTGCATCCGCGTGGAATTTAACTTTGTTTTTCTAAAATAAAAGTAGCCTAAGTTACTCCTTATTACATCAGACAGACAGACAAATATAGTAAAAAAACAATATTTTGGTGTATGTACCGTACCGTATATTCATATGCATGTAGTAAAAACGGGTTATTTCAATATTACAAACAGACATTTCAATTGTATGTATATATATAGATTAATATATAAATATATAATTGCATATGTCGTGTTAACGACGAAACTAACTGATTATAAATATATTAAATTTAATCTCAATTATGTTGCAAGAGATATAAAAATAGATGAGTTCAGACTAGATCTGTTATTTGTCTATTTTTATGTCACATTGTGCATATTGTGCATATATATATGTTTATGAGAACTTCATACCAGTCTAAGAAGAAGATCGAAGAAGTCAGTAAACTGAATTGTACACTGAATTCGTTGGATATTGGGTTATTCGAAACACAAACTTCACATCCAATTATACCCTCAACTTTAGTTCAGCTTTAGTGGCAATGCTATCCAGTAGTATTATAGGGTTGCTCTCTTCCTATTATAAAATTGAACAGTTTATCAATGATAATGTTTTTGTAGAAAATATCTAACTTAAAATTCATAGCACTGGCAATGTTATCTGATTGAACAGAGAGTAAGTGCGCAGCGGTTTCTATGTTGATTGTCGCATGCCTAATTCTTTTAATGTAAATCTTAAATGAATATTTATTAAAAAGCAACACACAAGTTTCTTGCTCATTCTTCTTGTGATGAGTCTGCATTCCGAATGAGCGGTAGAATAAAAAAGTGACTATTCAAAAGTGCTGGTATAAAGTTTATTTGAATGAAAAATATTTTTATTCTATTCTTATACGCGCTACTATATTGGGAAATATACTGCATAGAGGAGTGAGGGCAGCTATACCTACACCGAACAAGCAATCTAATCTTCAGACTTAACTATATTACAAGAGCGTACAAATCGGTCAACCAATTTGCTGCTAAAATCGATTAATGCACAAACTCTTTAAGAAAACATTTTACATTTTATATTAAACTGATATCGGTTAGAAATCTTGTTTGTAGAAGTTATTACTTTAGAAATGTTTATAAAATACAGTATTGTCACTGAAATAACTGGACTGGCATATTTTTATAAGAAATACAAAATGTTTTCATTCTATAATAGGATTATTTGTGCTGTCCATTTGTTATATGCTGTCAATGCTGGCAAAGCCTTCAAGTTTACGTCTGTGTAGAAGTTAATCCTTGAACTTCGCCCATATACTGTGAGTCTCCTTTCATGGAAGACCTAAAGCCGAGCTTGCTCCTTTGAAATACTATTGGATGTCTTTGTATTTAACATTTCTCGCACTGCAAATATCCATTTCAATTTTATCTGTACTATATGTATATATTCTATGAAAGTTATTTTATTTTTAACTTTTGTATTTCGAATTTCATATTTATCTACACATTCTATGAAAGTTATTTTATTTTTAACTTTTGAATTTGAATTTCATATTTATCTACACATTCTATGAAAGTTATTTTAAAGCATATTTTATTCAGTTCGACTTTTGAATATTGAATTTCTTGTTTTTTATAACATTGCTCGCACTGCAAATATCAATTTTAATTTTATCTACATATTTCATGAAAGTTATTTTAAAATATATTTTATTCAGTTCAACTTTTGAATTTCGAATTTGTTTTTTTTTTTTGGAGAAGTGAGTTCTTATTGCAAATGGTTTATTTACAACTAGCTACTTGCTCCGGCTTAGCCCGGGTGTACATGTATTATATATATAAACCTTCCTCTAGTATCACTCTATCTATTTAAAAAAAACCGCTTCAAAATCCGTTGTGTAGTTTAAAGATTTAAGCCTACATAGGGACAGACAACGACAGTGACTTTGTTTTATACAACATGTCTTGAGGTTATATTTTATAAAAGCATATATATACATGATGTTTTAAAAGTATTTAAAATATTCCAAAGACTTCCAAAAATAAAGACGCCATTCATATATAATTGTAGGTGTTCATTCAGGTCCAAGAAAATATACTGCCGCGCTATAAACAGCGTTCTAAATGTTTTATAGTTCGGTACATATAAAAGTAGTAATATGTACGTACCATTTATATCGTTATCAAATAGTCAAGCAGGTAGTTAAACTGGGTTATGACTTGCGGTTCGTTCTGTTTAAAGGTTGTATTACACTATCTTATTATGAACTAGCTACTCGGCTTCGTACTGGTGTACATGTATTATATATATAAACCTTCGTCTTGAATCACTCTGTCTATAAACTAAAAATATGGCGGCTGTGGAAATGAAATTACGACTAAATATTAGTATTTCTATTATGAAATTTTTTTTTTTATATCACGTAGGTGGCAAGCAAGCATACGGCTCATCTGATGGTAAATGGTTACCGTAGCCTATGGACGCCTATATATAATATACGTATGTATATTTAAATAATCTCATGCATGGAAGAAATTATACTTCTCTCTTAATTATAATCGTAAAAAATATCTATATTGTGATTATTTTCACTTATATACTAGCTGTGCCCCAGTTTCTCACGCGTGAAATTTTTAGAGTACTAGCTGTTCCCGCGACTGCGTCGGCGTGGAATTTAATGTTATTATTCTAAAATAAAAGTAGCCCAAGTTTTTCGTAATTACATCAGCCAAAAAAAGTCTCGTTAAAATCGGTCCTGCCATTTCAGAGATTAGCCGGAATAAACAGACAGACAAAAGTTGTAAAAAGTGTTGTTTTGGTTACCTTTATTCTGAGATCGTAATTTAATACTTCTACATTTGTCAAGTAGCACTACATTAAAATGACCATCGTATAATTCACCAGGATTTAAACACAATGATTTCCTAATAACTCGACCAGATATGGTACATTGCCTAGCAATGAACTAGGTTCACTTGTTCACTTATTAGGTCACTAGGTTCTTTACTAGCCATCCCCCCTTCCAGATATTTCGTTATAAAATTATGTATAATGTTTATTGCACTTTTAAGTAAAATAGAAAACTTAATTATATACAAAGTGGGTAAAGGTGTAAAATTACATTTCTTTTACTAATATAGATGATCCGTCATTCACAAGTAGCGTACTAGCTACAATTTTACCTATACGATTCTATGAAATGAAATGAAATGAAATGAAATGTATTTATTTGCATGAAATATGGTATAAATATTAAAAGCTTACATTACATTGCTTTCTTGATTCAATTATTTTAGAAATATGAAAGCGTAGCGGGTTTTGTATTAATTGCCGCATGCATTCTTATGTGAAATGTGAATACTATAAACATCAGATGGCAATTGTGAGTAGCTATGACGTGGTCTGGTGTTTTGAGTAGTCATGCTCACTAAAATGTCCAGACTTGTGGCGGCGTGGTGGGCCGGGTCATTGGGCTCCCTAAAATATGGTCGAGCGCAGTGATGGCTGGCTCATCCGTCATACTCGTGAACGGGTGCTGCTTGTAGGGACTGGTCTGCTCTAATCACTATGACTGATTTCCTCTTATTAATTGTTTAACCAGTTGGTTATGTATTCAATATTTTTTTCTTTTTGAGTATTTAATTGAATTAGTGCTAATCGGTGGTTTGTATTCACACACTTAAACTTAAATTGTAAGTAAGAATAAATTATTTAAAAGAGCAACACACAAGTTTCTTGCTTGTTCTTCTTGTGATGAGACAGCATTCCGAATGAGCGGTAGATTAAAAAAAAAAAAATGTTATGACTATTCAAAAGTGCTTCAATGTAAGTTTATTTGAATAAATGATTTTCTATTCTATTCTATTCTATTCTTCAAAAGAATGTCAGTATTAATAAAATTGTCCACATATTTCGCCATTGTTTTGGCATGCAAAAATTTAGTAATATACAAATTATACAATAGAATTAATGAATTTACGTTTAAAAATTGTATTATATGTTAAATATAAGTAGATACGTAACATTTATTTTAGTTAGGTGTCAATCAATATTATACAAATATATCAAACAATACTACTAATTGTATTATCTAATAATTCTACATATAACTCCTAGCTTTTAGCGAAAAATTCATTTATAGTATAAAAACAATTGTCAATTAGCCAATTTCGGAATTGGTATTTAAAAGAATTCATGGTCAATTCTTAAATTATAAGGTAGAAATACTATATTATTATTTGGCGTACCAATAGGTATAATGTTGTTTTTCATTGTTACAGGAGACTTATATATATTAAAACAATTGTCAATTAGCCAATTTCGGAATTGGTATTTAAAAGAATTTATGGTCAATTCTTAAATTATAAGGTAGAAATACTATATTATTTGGCGTACCAATAGGTATAATGTTGTTTTCATTGTTACAGGAGACTTATATATATTAAAACAATTGTCAATTAGCCAATTTCGGAATTGGTATTTAAAAGAATTTATGGTCAATTCTTAAATTATAAGGTAGAAATACTATATTATTATTTGGCGTACCAATAGGTATAATGTTGTTTTTCATTGTTACAGGAGACAAAATGGGCTGTTTTGTCAGTAAAGATAAACTTACAAAGGAGGATATGGATTTCCTCAAAACGCATACGTCGTACGATGAAACCACCATCAAAGAGTGGTACAAGGGCTTCAAGGTAAACTATAAACTATTATATACGCAATGATGTTCTTATAATAGCACTGTATTATATATATAAACCTTCCTCTACAATCACTTTATCTATTAAAGAAACCGCTTCAAGATCCGTTGCGTAGTCCTGATTTAAGCATACATGAGACAGATAGCGGCAGTGACTTTGTTTGGTACTATGTAATGAACTATATAGGTATTGACTACGTTGGATTTCAAATGGGATTATTGTGTCCAACTTTATTGTTGTCTAAGTGCAGTACGGGATAGTAGATCAGTACCTGAAACTCTACGATTGAATCTGCCAATTTAAAAAATTAGCGTTAAAAGGAAAGTTTGTATTTTGTGCTAATTTTTCTCGCAAACATCGGTGACAAAAATAGCATATGTCGCTTACATTAGCTATTAGCCACAGCGGCTACTTTCGACTACTGTCTGTTAAAATACGACATATCACAATAGTGATGCGCCCCGCATTTATTAACTGGTTTTTTTAAATTAAATGATATCTGCTCGTATTACTACGACTGATTTAATCTTATTGTATGTTTATATTTGACCCTAATAAATTAGTGCTAGTTGGTAGTTTGCGTTCACACGTTTCGCATTGAAAAATGAAAACTTGCTCGTTCTTCTTGTGATGAGACAGTTCTCCGAATGCGCGGTAGATTAAAAAAATTATTATGACTATTAAAAAGTACTTAAATGAAGTTTACTTGAATAAAGGATTTTCTATTCTATTCTATTGAATGAGATATCGATATATTTACCGTAATGTAAGTGTAATTTGTATTTTTATTTCACATTACAGCAAGATTGCCCTAACGGCCGTCTAACGCCTGCAAAATTCGTCGACATGTACAAGATGTTTTTCCCGTCCGGGAACGCTGTCGAGTTTTGCGATCATGTATTCCGCACATTCGATATGGACAAGAATGGCTACATAGATTTTAAGGTACAACACTAAAATGAAGTATGAATATAATGAGGTTGTATATCATTTATATTCATATATACTTGGCGAAAATTCGCTGCGCGTTATTTTTAAAGTTATTCAATTGGCTGAGCGAGATTATAGATTCAGTTCCTGTGCGGCGAATTCAGCTGGATTACATTTTTTTATTGCTAACCATTGTTTTGGTTGAACATAACATGACAATAATCAAATTTTTTCCTGTCACTGTTTGATTATTCTACTGCGTATCGACATGGCTATGTTTGTTATAGGAATTTCTGCAAGCAATTCACGTAACGTCAAGCGGAACACCTGAAGAAAAACTGAAGTGGGCATTCCGCATGTACGACGTGGATGGCAATGGTGTGATAGATATTCAAGAAATGACTAAAATAGTCCAGGTAAGTTCATATACTGCATTACTCGATGTGTATTTGGGAATGTATATGTGCGGCAGGTTATAGAAGTGGATGAAACAAGACAAGTCCGTTTGGATAGTGACCTTTTTTTATTGAGTTTTAAGAACATTATAAGGAATCATAGGTCTATTGTACTCTTATTGTTAGAAACCTGTTGTATCATAACGATTTCGTAGGAAACATGTCTACGTAGTAACAAAATATTGATAGCACTAAAATCACCACACGCCTACGGGTGTATCGGACGTGTCCATTATCGAGCTGTTGCTGGTATTTGCGCTCTCTCCTCGCTAAATGCAAATCCCTGTTTTTGACAAATGATGTGTACTATTAATTGTTGAGCTCCGTGTAACTCTCGGGAAATGGAAAACTGCATGCTGAATGCGATTTCATTCCAACGTTCCTGTTTGACGTTTCAATTAACTGTAAAAAAATGTTTGGAGTGGTTGTGTAAATGGAAAGTTGAACAACATTTTTTTTTTACTGATTCTTTTTGGTCTGAATCTGCTTTTTGAATTGGTTGAATAAAAACAAACGATTATTCAATTTAAATTGTATTAAGTATATTTTAATAAAGTAAATAAACCATTTCTAGTGTCGTTACGTTATGTACGCTACAACATGAATTTATTAATTCATAATAAACAATATTTTAATTATGTTCATAGTAATAGCAGTCGTATAATAACTTCATTTCATAAAGTTTGCAATTTGAACTGAATATTGAATAAGTCTGTTTGATTGCATCGCTAATAACAATTTACGTAGTCGCGTAAGTAAATTGTATTTGCTGAACTTAACGTCTCTCCATAAACTGTCTTCCATATCTGTCGGTGCTTTGAATTGCAGTTTAATGCAACTATACGAAGGTTACCAAACTGCGCGCCATTTGAGACCGGTTCTGGTCACAGAACATTAATTGAATACGCTACAGCTTATGCATGCGTTCCGTAGCACTGATGAAATTTTAGCCCTGCTCTAAGTTTAACCATAATTTTGCCTTCAATATGTGTAGGTTTATATATTGATGTATGTGTAGGGTTAACGTTTAATCCTGGCTGGCTTAATTTACCTAAAATGTCGTATGAAATTTCCAACCATTTAGAATCTTGATTGAATTTCGTATAAAGTTTGATATTAAATTGTGAGTCCAAATTTTGATGCTTCGTATCTAAATCGAAATATCGACAACGATGTGCGGTTCCTCAATATTGTTGATATATATATTTGCAATCAATTTATTAACACAATTTTAGTACCTAACATTTAACGTAGGAATTTATTTTTAAATTCAAATTTAAAATTCAAATTCATTATATTTGAAAATTAGACATTCATTATGAAAAAGATAATTTGTCGTAGGAATTTGATTTATATTTGAATCTTTAGACATTCATAATGTATCGTAGGAATTTGTTTTATATTTTAATCTTTAGATATTAATTATGAAAAAGATCATTTATCGTAGGCATTTGTTTTATATTTGAATCTTTAGACATTCATTATGAAAAAGATCATTTATCGTAGGAATTTGTTTTATATTTGAATCTTTAGACATTCATTATGAAAAAGATCATTTATCGTAGGAGTTTGTTTTATATTTGAATCTTTAGACATTCATTATGAAAAAGATCATTTATCGTAGGAGTTTGTTTTATATTTGAATCTTTAGACATTCATTATAAAAATGTTCTTCAATAATGAGACATTAAATGAAAATGTGTCTGCAATTTTATTATTTTAATCCTCACCATAAAGTTTTTACAGTTATGGTTGAAAAACGTTTCGTTAAAAAAAATATTCTGGAATGTAAATTTACAGCCAATTATTATGTCATGACCTAATTACGAAGAAATGTTGCTGGCTGTAGTAAAATAAATGTTATTTTCGATAAACCGCTCCACTCCAGATCATGAGAGTGCCGTGAACATAACCAAATTAGAACCATTTGACTTTTAATAAATTCACTCAGTAGTGTATGATCTCTCACCTGGCAGATGGAGCGTCAATTAATATTTATATGTTTGGTTCTCTCGAGACATAGAAAAGATAATTAATTTTGTAGGTCTGCTCTTATCACTACGACTGATTTAATCTTATTGTTTTTATATTTGACCCAAAAAAATTATGCTGGTTGGTAGTTTGTATTGACACGTTTCGACTTGTAAATGTAAACTTACAAGGATTATTTAAAAGAGCAACACACAAGTTTTTTGCTCGTTCTTCTTGTGATGAGACAGCTTTCCGCACCAGCGGTAGTTAAAAAAAATTGTTCAGACTATTCTAAAGTGCTTAAATTTAGTTTATTTGAATAAATGATTTTCTATTCTATTCTATTCTTTTCTTTGTTTGTGGACGAATAATTACATTATAATTTATATTGAATTGAATTGACGATCAAAGTGAAATACGTTTTATATTTATATATGCTATTATTTAAAATATGTAGTCAATATAACAAGTATCTATATTTTATAACTAGCTGTCCCTGCGACTTTGTCCGCGTCGATTTTAACTTTATTTTTCTAAGATAAAAGTAGCGTAAGTTACTCCTTATTACATCAGCTACCTGCCAATAAAAGTCCCATCAAAATCGGTCCAACTATTTTATAGATTAGCCGCAACAAACATATCGACAGTCAGACAAAAATTTATAAAATATTTTTTGTTGTATGTACCGTATTTATATTCATATGCATGTAGTAAAAAACGGTTATTTCAATATTACAAACAGACACTCCAAGTTTATTTATACGTATAGATGAAAAAAGCTATGGTTGTTCTTGGATAGAACTTTGCTAAAAAATATATTAATTGTATTAGATGTTGATACAATTACTCCACGGGCACTACATTGTTTTTTATAGTCTCTCTTTATGCGACAGACAACTGAAATTGATAAAATTACATTACGTAATATGGTGTCGCTTCTGGGCCAACGGTTACCCTATTAGACTGCTTTGTAGCATTTACGACGCGACCGGCGCCTCGGCACGTTTTAGTTTTAGGACTCTTTCGCCAGGGTTGGCAATTTATCTTTTATACTAATCAACCCCTTATTAAAAATACGATATACTCAATTTGCTTTGTGCATTACCTCAGAACTAACTGATTTTAACTTAACTGTATCTATCACATAGTAACTTTAAGTAGTTATGACGTGGTCGAGTGGGATGAGTAGTCATGCTCACTAAAATGTCCAGACATGTGGCGGCGTGGTGGGCCGGGTCTTTGGGCTCCCTAAAATATGGTCGAGAGCAGTGATGGCTGGCTCATCCGTCATACTCGTGAACGAGTGCTGCTTGTAAAGACTGGTCTGCTCTTATCACTACGACTGATTTAATGTTATTATGTATTTATATTTCAAATTGTGCTGGTTGGTAGTTTGTATTCACACGTTTCGACTTGTAAATGTAAACTTACAAGGATTATTTAAAAGAGCAGCACACAAGTTTCTTGCTCGTTCTTCTTGTGATGAGACAGCTTTCCGAACGAGTGGTAGGGTAGATAAAAAACAAATTGTTATGACTATTCAAAAGTGCTTAAATTAAGTTTATTTTAATAAAGGATCTATTCTATTGTTGTATTTGTTTGAAAGCCGGTGTTGATATGTTCCATAAACTTTGTCAACATTTGACGATTATACGATAATCTATGACTGGAGCAGAAACACAGTGACTATTTTATAATAATCAGAATAACTTTAATATATGTGTGTATTTCCCAAAAGGGAAGCTCACAGCTAAGAAGATACAACTAGTCTGAAGTGACATATATAAAAAAAAGAAATCAAAAATACAAAGTTTATTAAAAGAATGACAGACAAGCAGCCTGCAACAGTTTTTTGTGCTCTATATACGTATAATTAAAGTAAAAATTACTTTGTACTACTGTTACTTAATTACAGTTTTAAAAGAATGACAGACAAGCTGTCTGCAACAGTTTTGTTGTTTGTTTTGTGCACTATATACGTAAGTCTTTTTCGTATCCGTCGGGCAGGAGTTGGCCTTCAGCCGCTCCATAAGTCCTTCCGCGGGTTTGGAGTGCCATCTGCACTCGCCCCATAACGTCCGGTGAAGCTGTAAAGGCCAGCTACGGCTAACAGCATTAGAGTAGTCCGAAAAAAAAAACTATACACGTATAATTAAAGTAAAAATTACTTTGTACTACTGTTACTTAAACACAGTTTTATCTACTCACATACATGACGTACTTATGTGAGTATACAGACAATAAAATGTAAATGGGTAGTGCAGATGACAACAATGAACAAAACTGTTCCCGTGAGCATTAAATTATTGTACAAGAATATGCATATAATTAGTGTATTTCTTCTTTGTTTCAATTTTTTTATCACTAATTTTTTTTTATACTACGATGGTGGCAATCAAGCATACGGCCCATCTGATGGTAAATGGTTACCGTAGCCTATGAACGCCTGAAACACCAGGGGTATCACTTGCGCGTTGCCGACCTTTAAGAAACCTTAATATACCCTTCTTGAAAAACCCCATGCTGAAGTCTCGTGGGAAAACCTCGGCAGGAAGTTTATTCCACAATCTAAGTGTAATTATTGTGTTTTGCAAATATATGTTTTACTTTTGGGGTAAAGAAAAACTATATGGCGCCACTAGTGTGTATCGTTACGTATTTTATTTGATCTAAATTTACTAAAGTTGTCGAAACTGTCAACAGTGGATTAGCCGGGTCGATAGTAGCCCTATCCTCGCCTAATTTAACATGTAATAAAATCCTAGAAAGGTCGTGTAATATATGCGTAATATTGACTGTGGGACTAGTATTGTAGATTGTAGTATGTCGCTCAGAACTTTTATAAAATTAATTTACTTAGCTTTATTAAGTTAGTAAGTTAGTTTAGTAAGTTAGGTAGTTAGTACTAACTTCTCAGTTTGGCTTTTGGTTGACTGGTAAAGAACGCCCTTAGGTGTTAAGTTAAATGTACATATAACAATATGTACATTTATATATTATAATATTTGTGCGTTAAAGTTTAAATAAATAAATAATATCTATACATATTTATAGATATAAATAAAATTGGAGTGTCTGTTTGTAATATTGAAATAAACGTTTTTTACTACATGCATATGAATATAAATACGGTACATACACCAAAATATAATTTTTTACAAATTTTGTCTGTCTATCTGTATGGTTGTTCCGGCTAATCTCTGAAAGTGTTGGACCGATTTTAACGGAATTTGTTTTTGTCAGGTTGCGGATGTGATAAGCAGTAACTTAAGATACTTTTATTTTAGAAAATTAAGTTAAATTCCACGCGGACGAAGTCGCGGGTACACCTAGTTTGTACTATAAACTTTACTTTTTATCTGTCTTCCTCTTACTGATGTGTCCTGATAGTAAAAAAATCTAGTGCTTTTTTCTTTTTTTATCTTTTTTTTTCCTTTTTCTTGTTTTCTTCTTTTTTTATATATATATTAAATATTATGCGCTTCTGACCGCATTCTCATCTGATGTTAAGTGATGATGCGGTATACATGTCCTATATATACACATCTTGTTCCATCCATTTATATAACTTTGACATCGTGTATACCGATTTTGGAAACAATAGTCGCTTACGACTGATATTATTTATATAATATATATATAAGAGAGTAGGTTATTTATATTGACTATCATCGTGATTTTTATACTCGCTGAAATGTTACCAATGATTTCGAAGTGTAATAATTTTTTTTTTAATCTCAGGACAATTCACACAGCGCCGTCTAGACCCAAGTTAAGCTAGCTAAAGCTTGTGTTATGGGTACTAGACAACTGATACAAATACATAGATATATTTTTTTTTGTAAATACATACATTTTATACATAGAAAACACCCAGACCGGTACCAACAATCCTACTCATAAATACAAATTTTTGTGCCGTGTGAGGAATCGAACCCGCGACCATCGGTCGTAAAACGGTGTGCTAGACCGCTAGACCACCGAGGTCGTCAGATGTATACAAAATGTATCAAAATGACCACAAGGATAATCTCGGTATTGGCAATACCTGTTTTTAATAGCACAGGGGACAAACGAGCATGCGGCTCACCTGATGGTAAGTGATTACCGCCGCCCGTGAACACCAGGGGAATTGCAAGTGCGTTGTCTTTATTACATCGCGCTATAGGTAGCTAGCTATAGGTTACATATAGTGGATGTGTTCATTAATTTAATTGTCCCTGTCTCGTTCCAGGCCATCTACGATATGTTAGGCGCTTGCTCGAGTAACAGGCCAGCCGACTCTGCCGAGGAACGTGCCAAAAACATTTTCGCAAAAATGGACGAGAACAACGACGGTCAGCTCACCCAGGACGAGTTCCTCAAGGGCTGCCTCCAGGATGAGGAGCTTTCGAAGATGCTAGCGCCCTAAGCGGCCGAAGGTCACAGTAGCACGACCCTCAAATCCACCCCTATGTTATATCACGACAACCCGACGGCGCGAAAACATATACTTTCCTTCTTACTTTTATCTGCTAAAAAAATTTCTTAATACAATCTGCAAACGAAAATTTCTAAACGTTACAGATTATACTATATTTAGGTCTAGGGAGGAGACTGCGACATGACGTGTCTGTTGAGTAACTCTGCCGCGCGAAGTTAGTTCACAAACGAACTTCGTGTAACAATATAGTCTTAACAAAACTGAAATTAAACTTAATCGCCTCACGAGCATCGCGCCAATGTTCTACAGTCGGTGCAAACTTCTTCAGTTAAAAATACTACGCTCTCCATTCGGTATATTAAGGAATGATGAAATATGAAAATGTTGCTGTCGTGTTGCTGTAGTGTACAGCGTGAGTACAGTGGGCCACATACTGTATTTTGCATTGTACTGAATTATACCTGGACCTTAATTCTGTAACTATAGATAACAACATAACATCAGTCGTGTTTTACGGTCGACGTATAAGTAGATAGGGTCCAGTATTTTCACAAGATTCTGTACAATATGTTTGTATGTACATGATATGTGGCAGACTGTAGACAGAGTTACGTACAGCCGTGGGTATTTGTTGACGTACAGACTGAGTGAAGTGCAGCGTACACTTGTTGATATATACATACACGAAATTGCATCCTCTCCCGCCTATATACCGTTCAAAAATGTAACAAGAGCCACCAACGGCAAATATAAAACGATTTAGATAAGTAATGTATGCAATAACAAAGTACACTCAGTTTTATAGTTTTTTTATTTACTTTATCGTTGATGTCGCGTGCAATGGAGCTAGCAAAACAATATTTCCATTCGCTTGAAGGTTTCTACATTTTTATTCGATGTATTAAAACTTGCACAAACTTTTCTTTGTCCAATGAGAGAATATTTCATTTAACAATAACACTGTTTTCTCTCTATAAGTTTATATGAATATAATAGTTTTGTTTTAATCTATACATCTATACATATAAATAAAATAGGAATGTCTGTTTGTAATATTGAAATAACCGTTTTATATTACATGCATATGAATATAAATATGGTGCATAAACAAAAAAAAAATTTTTACTATTTTTGTCTGTCGGTCTGTTTGTTCCGGGTAATCTCTGAAATGGCTGGACCGATTTTGATGGCAGGTAGCTGCAGGTAGTAGGACTTAGGCTACTTTTATTTCAGAAAAATAAAGTTAAATTCCACGCGGACGACGTCGCGGGAACAGCTAGTAAGAAATAAATAGAATCTACGAGCGGGCCAGCAAACGTTTATTTAACAATGTGTGTGCAGGGAACGTAGGTACACGTTGTACGCGGCGGCAGTTAATTGTGAATGCAGCTTACCAACCGACAAAGTAAACACGGAGCAAATCGATTGATTGCATCTGCATATTTGATCTACGCTCCACTGTTCCCCGAAATTGTTCGTCTAAAAACAGATTCGAATAACACAAGTGTAACTATTGTATTGTCTACGAGTTAGTTTTAGTTTTAGTGATGTCTATATCGGATGTTGTACGCCGCTCTTCACACGCCCCAACTATACAATACCCCGACACGTGTTTCTCGTCGATTGTAAAACAGAATTTAATGTTAAGCAACTCGTTGATGTAACGAATTTAGCGTCAATGAATTCTTGAGTATTAATAAAATGTCCATTCCTATTTGATAAATGTATTATGAATGATATTTGTATGTCAAGTATTATATGTCTGCCGCTGTCGGATTGTCCACTTGCTAATCGTATAAGTATTGTATCCGAACCACAAATCACTCTACACACACTTAGATTATATAATTATTACCTGTAGTACTTGATCTATCTGATTCAATCTTGTTTCTCCGTTGAAAGAATACTGCTGCACCGTATAAAGTAAAGTCAATCTTAATATTATAATATTAAGGCAACAATTAGTGTAGTCGTGTAAGAACAGAATCGGTCAGATTGGTTCATTAATACACAATGTTGCGTGCACGCATCCATTCCGTATCGGGTACGTACGTACAATATGCGTGCTCAACACCGACGCCAGTAATCTGATCCATTCTGTGGACGTTATGTCCAATTATATAAGTCTTAAAGTAAACATAATGTTTTACATTGAACTCGTTTAAAATATCGGTGTTGTATTATCTTTACATTCGGTGTAATTCGTTTGTTTCTCTGGAGTCTTCAGTCAGGCAGCATGGCCGGTTCAGAACCGACCCGCCCGGGCCTTGTACCCCTCTCTCATCGTTTTGGAGCTTTAATAAAGAAATTATTTTTCTCACTATACACTTAGGGCTATGAAAATAGGTGTTTGAGATTTCAATCTAGTATTATAACTATGTAATCGTCTAATCTATTATACGCTGTGGTATGTAGGCGTCTCACACCATTTCCCCACTACTGTGCCTTCTAGATCTCTATAAATAGTTTTCTGAAAGTTAATTTACATTCTGTTAAGTTTTCCGCGATTTTGCTTTAGTTTAGCATAATGTCCGTACTGTTCGAACTGACGCCAAAGGTTACAGAAGACTGCAGGCCATTTTGCAGTGCTATTATCTAAAATTGTCTCTGCAACTATAATTTTAATTTAATATCTATCATTCATAAGAAGAAGTGTAAACAAACGTTGTAAGATTTCGACTAAAACGACCTAAATCGTTGATTGCGTGCCATAAAATACTTTTTCCAAGTTACAGAGATACATTTAGACAAAAGCACTTCGGAGTCGACTGCGCTGGTTGTCTGTAAAGAATAGAAACAAATTTAGTGTGCCCTAGTCACGGTCATTATGACCTTAGCTTTTAATATTTAAATTTATACCTATGTGTAATTGCTTTATTTTCATTTCCTATTAGCCTTGAAAATATTTGAAGGGTCGCGAAGATTTTTGGAATATATTATTTTCATATTAACAGTTACCAGTGTATGGAAGAAGTTTTCAGTGCAACCATAACATATAAGTAAATAAATAATATGCAATTATTGAATTGTATACACTAAATGCGCGCACAAAACACAAAACATCAAAGTGACGGACGATAAAGAAGATGATGTTTCTACTTTAAAACTTTTTATAACAATTAGAAATTCATTGTAACTATTTAACAGTATTTAACAGCAACGCAATCTCTATAATATGTTAACTATTTGACATTTTTTTTTGTATTAAATTATTCCTACACTTTAGTCCCTTAATTTTAGTTTTCATTTAATGTCAGTATAAGAGAGAGTTGATAATAACAAGCCACTAATTGGAGAAACATTATCATAAAGTACTGGGAGCACAGTTGTTGAACCATCTGAATAATTGCTAGTGTTCAAACAAACTGTGGGCAAACTTTAGCACTGGAAACTTGTACTAGATCACTATGTACCATTGAATACATTCCACGTTTGTATTTGAATGTTATTGAATAGTTTCTAAGTATTTATTTACGTTTAGTATAACGTCATTGAATATGTTTTATTAGATTTTGTATGAGTATATGTATTTCGTGTTTGTAAGTTGCATCGATCATCAATGGTTTTATAGAAAAAGAGATATTATGATACTTTAAATTACTTGCAATGAAAAAGACAAAAGAAGATAATAAAACAATTACCGATAAATATTGATATAAAAATTATAAATAATCCAGTTTTTTTGCATATCCAAAATCTGTATGTCTACATCGTTGTAACTTCTAAACATGGCGATACTTTACTACTAATTTATATATAAACAATATTTAATTATTTAGTAACCTCAAAGAAATTAATTTAAGCTACTTACACATTTTTGTAATTAATTGTATCTCATTTATATTTTGCTTGAATCTAGGCGGGGAAACAAAGTAAATAAGATCAAATAACATAAAAATGATCGAAAAATGACTGAATTTTATACGAGTAGGGAAGAGGGATCAATAATACTCATCTTGAACCTGAAGGTTGCTCTCGTAGACAGGGTGTTGCATAACATATCACAAAATTGGAAATTTAATTGGATTACCAAATAAAATATTGTTTAAAAACCACCGATACGTCCTGGACGTGAAAAGAACTGACGTAAATTCATTCATTTACTGACTAAGTACATATAAAGTATAAGTTTCAAACAAATATACATATCTCAGTAATTGAAAAATGGGATTTCATGCCGTAATTATTTTGTCATTGTTGAAGTTAATGTGTGACGCGACCCAGGCCCATGTTGTGTGTAATATGCTAATGTACGGCTACACTCTAGTCACTAGTAGGCACTCACTAAGGGGCCCACTGTAATAAGAAGAACTACACCACAAGTACTGGCCACTTTGTTGTTTTAATATCAATTCTATTCTATTCTACACTAAATCGATTTTAGCTTTTCGATCTGCCAAGTAACAAAGCAAATAAATACTAGTAGGCATATGTGGATGCAAGCGTTTCTTTACTGATAGAACTTTATGAGTTGGGATAGTTTTCTTATTACACGGGGCCGGCTTAATATTTCTTTATCAATCTCGCCTTTCTCTCCGCCATAGTAGACGCGATTCCTTTCATCTGAGCACTCACAGCACAATACTATATAGTAATCGTCATTTTTATCTCTGTAGTGATTTGTAATGCCATTATATACCTACTATAAGATTCATCTCGTGTCTGACGTTATTATATTATTAGGATACATCTCAGTGTATTGTTTCTATTGAAACTTCTATGTGTAATTGTATTTTGAATATCTGTCAGTTGCATTGTTTTATTGTAATAAATATCGTAACTTTATCTTGCAGTGTGTGTTTCTAATGACTTCGCTTTATATCCGTGCCGCTGGACATACAGTGAATGTTCTAAGCATTTTCAGTTATTTTTCCAAAGACAAAATAAAAGAAAAGATTTTTGGGAAGTATTAACTTAGTTCATCTTATCAAAATAACACCTTTTTTTCATAATACGCCATTAGGCGATGGATTGTGGGCAGATTTAGGTTTTGTTAATACAACATTATAAAAAAAATAGTGAACTTGAGTCATTTCGAACTTACTTTAGTGTTTTCTATGTTTAGTTGTCACACTATTATATGTTTCTTGTAATTTCATTTAAACATATACTATTATATAATTTTATATTATATTATTTTTAATACGATAAAACTATCGTAGCAGTCAGACTAGTGATTTAAATATAAGTCTGAAACACACACGACCTATTTAGATTAGTTTTATAATAAATTTTATTTTTAATTACATTACCTACCTAATATTTTTTTATAAATGTTATTTTCACTTAGAGCTATGCTAAAAGCGAATAATTGCGCCTAATAAAAATATTAAAATCTTTATTGTTTTTACTCTTTATTTATGTGGGTTTAATTAATGTAACAATTTGTTTTTTTATTTTCCTTTTAGTAATAAAAGAAAAATAAAAAAACAAATTGTTACGCTTAAGCTTGTTTTTATTGTAAGTGGATGAAGTTAATTTACGTAATTAAATCCACATAGCCATCTTTCAAATTTGTATATTCATAACTTGACATGTAGCGTAGAAGCACAAACTGTATTCATTTCTGTATTACTTACATGTGATAGAATAAGTTTATTCTAAGCTATATTTAGCTACAATAGTTGCACTAAGCAGTTGTAGAAGTATCAGATATGTCTGTCTATCTATATCTATAGCTGATCCCTCCGGATTATTAAAACTGGATTTTAAAACCCTATTTTATTTCGAGGGCCTATCGTAAGGACCTAGAAACGTTTTATTGTATCGTATATGTTCGTTTCTCTATTAAGAACATAGAAAACATTGTGATGAGCCCTTAGTATTTATAATTATAATTTCTTGCATTGAACTCATCATAAGCGACATTTTCAATATAATTTGTAATACTTATTAATTATAACGTATGTGGAAAATAATATAAATTGCTTGCGGAATTCAATTATTGCTAAAAGTATAGTTTGTAACTTGGATAGTTGTGATTGTTGTCCTACACCAGGTATATTGTCAATTCCAAAGTTTTATTGAACGAGAATGTCGTTTATGTATGGATAAAAGTATTTATACACTATATTATATAATCTTGTATCCATTTGGCAAGTAAAAATTGTATTTTGGCTTTCAAATGTTTAGTTATGTAAGTGCTATCGTATTGAACAGTCCTGTCTTGACAAAAATATCACGAAATTCATCGTTTTACTGAAGAATCTCAAAGTCTGAGTAAAGTTTTTTTAAATATTTACAGTGCATAGTATACTCATTAATGGAAACCAATGTATGTTAGTGTAGGCGCCTATGCGCGCCATTATTTAGGTTAAATAAATAGGCACCCGTAATAGATGGAAGTACCCACAATGTCCCCCATTAAAATCTCTGTGTATTACTAAGATACATATTTTACTGATTCACATTTTGCCTAATCATGTATAATATACAAATTACAAAATCAAAATAGTTCATATTTCGCCTAGTTTCTTTCATATTTTGTTTTTGTTTCGACCAGTACTTATTAACTTTCATTAATAGTTCATTACACTGACGTGCAAATTAATAGGTTACTTTATAGTACTGTTTTTAACACGTACAATAAATATATTTAATGTAATATTACACTGTTTGTCAGTGAGAGTTGTTAAAATGGCCGAAGACGTAGTAAAAAAATTTAAAACACTACAAAAAAAATAGTTTTCACAACAAAACAGATAATATATTGAAATTGCCCGTCAGTGTACTATAATTTTAAATTACAGACTAAACAGTGAAACGGTAGGTATCTAAATTATACACGTTGAGTACACAAATCCATTATAATTTATATTTTTAATTATTTTAATATTTTCACTGCAAGATGATAATATACATACGTGATAATTAATATTAAAATCATAATTAAAACTGATTGAACATCGCGACTTTGGCAACGTCTGCATTACATTCCATTAATTGGAAACCAAATAAAGGTTAAATTAACGCAACTGATTTTAAATACATTATTTTTTATTATCAGTTCTATCTTATATATAAAATTCTCGTGTCACAGTTTTCGTTCCCATACTCCTCCGAAACGGCTTGAGCAATTCTCATGAAATATTGTGAGCGTATTGAGTAGGTCTGAGAATCAGCCAACATCTATTTTTCATCCCCCTAAATGTTAGGGATAGTCCACCTCAAAATTTTTATTTTTTTATTTTTTAGACAAAATTTTTAGTTTCTATTTTTTATGATTCAACATACAAAAATACATGCAATCCTAAATTTTCACCCTTCTATCATCAACCCCTATTTTTTTTATAGCGTTATTAATTTATATGGCATAACAACGTTTGCAGGGACAGCTAGTATAACATAAAATTGTTTAAAGGAAATCTACAGCTAAGTTTTTGATAATAAAACAAAAACTATAAAGATACAATCCTCTAAAAATACATAATATAAACTGTAGTACCTCATACTGCATGTTCTGGGCTAAAGAGGCTGAGTCAACTGATGCTGTGACCGTAACGTTTACATACTCTTCACCGCGGTTCAATCTGTCCCTCTCATTTAACCTTATATATAAAATTCTCGGGTCACAATGCTAGTTACCATCCTACGAAACGGCTTGACCCACTTTTATAAAATTTTATATGCATATTCAGTAGGTCTGAGAATCGGCTGCTATCTATTTTTAATACCCCTCAGTGATAAGGTTTGTTCACCCCTAACATTTATTTTAATTATTTGAACAATATTTTTTTTTTATAATGTGGCATTAAAAATACATACAACCCCAAATTTTCAACTTCTACTATCAGTCAGTTAGTTAAATATATATTATGCGAACTGCTTAACAGTCCGAGAGTTCATAATTTTTATATGACACAAACAAAACAGAATATATATAAAAAAATATATATATAAATGAAGATGAAATATTTCTGATTCTAGAATAGAATATAAAATCATTTATTCAAATAAACTTACATTGAAGCACTTTTGAATAGTCATCACTTTTTTTTTAATCTACCGCTCATTCGCAAAGCTGTCTCATCACAAGAAATACTAGATAGAAACTTGCGTGTTGCTCTTTTAAATAATTTTATTCTTACTTTACATTTTTAAGTTGAAGTGTGTGAATACAAACTACTAATTAGCACTAATTCAATTAGATACTCAAATAGAAAAAAATATTAAATATACAAACAACTGGTTAAGCAACTAAATAACAGTAGATTTTTTCTGTAGAATGGTAGTCCATAGAATGTATAATGAATACATATATATAAATATTATGTTTCTTTTGACCAAAAAACATACTATATAATTACATTTTCAATATACGTAACACGATCTTTCAATTATTATTTTATGTTGACAGTTGCGCCATGATATACAGGCGGCCAGAATAGCAATTAACACCCATAAATATTACTTTATCAACAATTTTACAAGATTCATTAAGGACTTTTGACAATTTATACGCTGACATGTTAAAATACTCGTTAATGAACATCTAACAAATGTTATATATAAAATTTTCGTGTCACAATGTCAGTTACCATATTCCTCTGAAACGACCGATTTATGTGAAATTTTATATGCATATTCGGTAGGTTCCAGAATCCGCTACTAACTATTTTTCATACCCCTAATAAAGGTTGTCATAATAAAGGTTGTCCCTAACATCTTTTTTTTTTATTTTGAACAAATTTCTATATTGTAGTTTTTCGATAATATAGCATTAAAAATACATTCAACCCTAAATTTTCACGCTTCTATCACCAACCCTTATTTTTTAATCAATAGATACGTACTACAGATGTTGCCGGCGATAGTTACGAAGCAAAACAAAGGAACTAAACATGTTTCTGCTCAAGCTCCTATCCACAAAATAAGACTAAATAGTTTATTGATTAAAATAAAATATAATTGTTATACTAAAGCGAAGAAAAAAATGTAGCTATGAATAATTTTCATCAGGTCAGCTTTAAAATTCACATACACATGTCTGTCCATTTGTTTATCGGCTTCGGTGACATAGATAACGTAGATACACACGTCAAACTCATTACACCCTCACCCCACGCCAGGGGTTGAAATTATTAAATGATTCAAAGTTCGTAATTACATATTATTGAATTTTACTTTTCTATATTTTGACATTGATATTGATGTAATTGTTATTATCATCTTGTTTAATTTAAGACGTATCTAGATGTTGAGCTTTTGTTAGAAATTACTGTAGAATTCGGATATAACGACCTTCAAGGGAGCGATACTATGTCGTACTAACCGGATGACGCACAAAACGGCACGATCATTTCTTAAGTACATACATACATATTACAAATGCGAAAGTTAGATTTTCTTATTTAGGTAAATAAAACAGTTCATAGGAATCATGATAAGATTCTTTATTTTAATAGTTCTTTGCGATTGTTATATTTGATTTACGGGCTTCTAATCCAGGTAATATTGCATTTTTCAATTGTAAAACACTTTCGCTGCACAAAACTCATTTTGTCGTGTGTTTGGTCTTGTCATAGCAGATCACAAAAACTATCTGTGATTTACGCGCGCCAATAAAGAAGATTTAAGCTCTTAGGGACCAATAAGACGAGGTATTAGAGCGTAGGTTATGTAAACAAAACTTTGCCGATGCGCAACGTACGGACGTACGTACTAACCGGACGTTAAACAAATAATGGTTACTCTATGTTGTTGATCGCTTAAACCGGAATCGCTAAACCGTATCGTCGCTAAAAACAGTTAGTCGTTATAAGCGAAGTCGTTATATATGAATTCTACTGTATATATTAATTAGTGCAAGTCAAATTTAGGACGTTCTGTCCATATGTAATCCATGTCTAATATGTAGACTGCGAACCGCCGTTGTTTTTAACAATAACATATTATATATTGTTTTTATCTGCTGGCTCTGGACTCGTCTTGATATTGACTTATTTTTTCATTATTGTCATGCACTTTAAATATATATATGTTATAACATATCATATTTGTTTTATGTTTTAGGGCACAAGTTGCATCTAATTAAAAAGAGGTTACTGGTTGTGTTACATACTGTAGCGTCCTGTTATATATTGAGGAGATTAACAAAATGGGGAAACAAAATAGCAAACTGAAGCCTGAAGTATTGGAAGATCTGAAGCAAAACACTGAATTCTCAGGTGAACTGTTTTAATTACTATAAAATTGTCAGTACCACAAGAAACTGAGCTAATCTTGATAAAATTAGTAAGAATACTAAAAGAAAAGGTTTCGATTAAAATAGTTATAATATAAAATAGAACTACACGCTCCTAATTATATTATTATATTGACTGTAATCTGTTTTGTATGCTAATAAATAAATAAATAAGTTATCAGTACTGATTTGAATTTATGAGGTCGTAAGTTGATTGATTTATTTGCAAGTTGTAATACAAATCTACTGTTGCTAGAATACTAAGATTTTGCACAGGAATTACGTGCTATGTACATCATGAGATTCTCCTGTAGGATCAGAATACGATATTACGACTTCCCGAGTTGAGGTACAAACCGGCGATGTCCTCAGATTAAAGTCGTATCCGTCAAGCGGGAGTTGGCCATCAGCCGCTCCATAGTACTTCCTTTGGTTTGGAGTGCCATCTAGTGCCAACATTAAAGTACAGTGGACCCCCGGTAGTCCGACAATCATTTTGCAGGGCAGTGTCGGACTATCGAATTTGTCGGATTATAGAGTACTGCCTAAGACCCCTTATAGTCCGAATTTTTTTACAAAAGAGTACCTTGTAATCCGACAAATTATAGATCCAATGATAATTCTTTATATTATATACATATCTGTATATGTATATAATACCCCGACAAACGTTTTGCAGGGCAGTGTCGGACCATCGTATTTGTCGGATTATATTATAGAGTGCTGCTTAAGGGTCCTCTGCTTATAGTCCGGAATTTTTTACAAAAGAGTATCTTGTAATCCGACAAATTACAGATCCAGTGATAAGATTCTATGTTATATATGTATGTATATGCACTCTGAAGTATATTGTCAAAGTAATATTCAATAACAAATAATAGACAATGTCGGATTACAACGGGGGCCGGATTACCGCGGGTCCACTGTAATCTGAAAAAATAGAAATCTAATTGTATGTGTGGAACACAATTTAATTTTAATATATATTATTTATAGTTAGTTAACACATCGCACCTGCTGGGTACAATTGATTGCATTTTTTTACATACATGATAATAAAATACTTTAATCATTGTGTAATTGAGGACGACCTCGGTGGTCTAGCGGTCTAGCACACTTTACGACCGATGTTCGCGGGTTCGATTCCTCACACGGCACAAACATTTGTATTCATTAGTATGATTGTTTGTCACGGTCTGGGTGTTTTCTATTTACAATATGTATGTATTTACAAAAAAAAATAGGAATGTATATGTATGAGTTATCTAGTACCCATAACACAAGCTTTAGCTAGCTTAACTTGGGTCTAGATGACGCTGTGTGAATTGTCCTCAGATTATTACTATTATATTTTATATTACAGATGCAGAGATACAAGAATGGTACAAAGGATTTTTAAAAGATTGCCCCAGTGGACATTTGTCTGTAGAAGAATTTAAGAAAATTTATGGAAATTTCTTCCCTTACGGTGATGCCAGTAAGGTAGGTCCATTATAAAGTAATATGTTTCTTCTCATAAAATATACCTCACAACAAATTTCATTATAATCTGTTTAGACGACATTTAACACAACGCCATCTAGCCCCACGGTAAGCAGAGCTTGTGTTATAGATACTGAGAACTGATATAAATACTTAGTTTAAAAAACTACATACGTAATATACATGTAAAACACCCAGACAATATAAAATGTTTATAATGATAGGAATCGAACCTGCGACCATCCGAAATAAACCAGTGCGTCAAGCTGCTAGACCACCGAGGTCGCAGTTATACTTTCGCATTTATAATGTTACCAGATGTAGATGGGAGTATAATGATGGTTGTTACGGAAGGACTGTATTAAGACTGGTTTTTTTTGACGATGATAATGGAATGGTGCACCCGCTTGCGCTAACGGTTTACGCTGGCGGGGCACCAGTGTGTCTATAAATTGTATAAGCTGTTGATTACCTAAAATAAATAAATAAATAAATTGAGAGTAATATATGTGAATTATGAAATTATGAAACGCTGGTGTATTATTCAGTTTGCAGAGCACGTATTTCGAACTTTCGACGCGAACGGCGATGGGACGATAGACTTCCGGGAGTTCCTGTGTGCGCTGAGCGTAACGTCCCGCGGGAAACTCGAGCAGAAACTTAAATGGGCCTTCTCCATGTACGACCTCGACGGAAACGGTTACATCTCGCGGCAGGAGATGCTCGAAATTGTCACCGTAAGTGTACTGTGTATTTACTACCATATTTGGGGGGAAGGGGGTTTAGTAATGGCAACTGGTAAACACCATTGCTAGAAATACCATGTTGGGTTCCTCCTGGAAACCCGGAAAATTCACTAGGAATTTATCACGTTGGGCCAACTGACCTGACCTAATGTTCATCTTATCATCCTCCACTGGTGCCCCGCCAGCGTAAACCGTTAGCGCAAGCGGGTGCACCAGTTCATTATCATTCACAAAACAAAAACTACTATAACGAGTACCATGTTTAGGCTTCCCGCCAAATACAAGATGCACCCAAGGTCCAAACACTGGCATCTAATTGACTACGCAATCGTTCGACAACGTGACGTCTCCCAAGTCCTCGTCAACCGTGGTTTTTTTTGAAGGATGATAATGGAACGGTGCACCCGCCCGCGCTATCGGTTTACGCTGGCGGGGCACCAGTGGAGGATGATACGATGAACATGAGGTCAGGTCAGTTAGCTCAACGTGACAAATTCACCGGGAATGTATCACGATGGATTCCAGGGCGAATCGCGTGGAGGTCGATCTGACATGGTACATAGCAATGGGATCATCAGTTCACATTACTAACAATATCCTTCCTCCCTATGTGATGCGTGGTGCGCACTGCTGGACTGACCATAGGCTTGTTGTTGCTGAGTTGAGTCTTCGTACAATAATACAAATGTATTATTGACTTATACAAACGAAATGGTATATTCCCAATAGTCTGGAACGGCACGTTACAGTTCTAGAGGATTAGGATTTTACCGTACAGATGTTATACAGCCTTCAGTCGACCCCAGTTCGAACGGGGATCGAAATTACAACACCCTGAGCCGAGGTTCGAACCCTTACCGACTAAAGTCATATCCGTTAGGTGGGAGTTGGCCTTCAGCCGCTCCATAAGTCCTTCCTTGGTTTGGAGTGCTATCTGCACTCGTCCCCTAACGTCCGGTGAAGCTGTAAAGCCAGCTGCGGCCAACAGCATTAGAGTAGTCCGAAAAAAAACTTATTGCAAGCTACTTGGCGGCTATTGCCCTATGGTAGAACAAACTCTACCATACTAAATGTTAAAAATGTTAAAAAAAAATAATTAAATCTTTTAATAGAACAAGGAGCGAATCTGAATTAGTGTCAATGCCAAATGTTAGTCATTTGTGATGAATATTATTATTTTGACATACTGTTTAGCGGAGCTTCGTATGCATCATGCATATTGTATGACCTCAAATTCAGTACAATTGTATGCATGAATGCAATACAAAAACAGCATTGAACTGATTTCAATGAGGTTATATAAATTCAAGTTACACTTGCGTTTTGTTTACTGACTTTAAAAAAGAAATTCAATTTAGTTTCTTGCCAGATCTTCTCAATTGATATATCTCAATTGGTATAGTAATGAAAATATTCATGGAAAATAATTTACGTTCATAAGGGGCTACAATGTCATAAATTATTTTGTTTTGATTTTAATAAATATATATTAATAACAATGAAGTATCATTGCCTTCTGTCAATATACGTTCATAAAAAAATGACTTTTATAAAAAATTTCAGGCTATATACAAAATGGTCGGATCCGTAATGAAAATGCCAGAGGACGAGTCTACGCCCGAGAAGAGGACCGACAAAATATTCCGTCAGATGGACAGAAACAAGGACGGGAAACTGTCCCTCGAGGAGTTCATAGAGGGCGCCAAGAGCGACCCCTCTATCGTCCGACTGCTGCAGTGTGACCCGCAGTCTCAGTGATACCCCAAATATTAAATAACCGGGGCGTCAACGACACTGCTCTATCCACACCTTATGTAATCCTATTGTAATATAATAATATCATCCCTATTACCATGCTTGTAAGAGCTAGTGCGCGAAATGAAGCGTTAATACACGTGAAGTATCGATTCGAGTAGTCCTGCTGTTTGGCTGTGATGCTGTCATTTTAACAGTTAATTATTAATTAAATCAATGACTAGCTCTATCGTCTAAGTCACACACATCTGTTAGGAAGTCATTGGAACAATTGTTCAATCCAAAGTACACACCCTCGTTTTATATGTAAAACGTACGGTGACTCCATTTTCATTCTAAACGTCTCTTTCCGATGGTATTGTAAAATATCTGCAGTTCTATCGTTTACGCTTTTATGATGTTTTTTATAAAATTATTGATGTTTTATATAAAATTAATTAATATGGAATTATAGCAATAAAATCTGCGCTTTTAAAAGTATATCGGTTTAACAAAATAGGTTAATGTAACTGTGAAATTGTTTTCGTAACTTTTGTAGTGTATTATTATGTCTATACGTGAGAGTACAAAGGTAGTCAATTATTACCCATTTATATACATTATTGCGGACGTTTCACGTGAAACATATTAATATGAGTGAAAGAACCTGAGGTTTGTTCTTTAGCATTTGGATTTTTAAATTCCAAATATGTTTTACCATGATATATAACGTTTCGTGGTCCGTAGCCGTTATTATTGGCGACATAGAATGATGGACGTTTAAAATGAACTGTAACTTTGATGACATTAATTTGACATGTGCACAGAGCACAGTCAACCGCAGAGTAAGTTTCAAATGATAATTTGAAAATACGTTCTAGTGAATATGATTTAAGGTTGAAATTTGATAAGTTGACGGTCCCTGACTGTGAATTGGTAAAAGCCAAATACCAGGATTACTGACATGACTATAACGTGTACAATATGTTACGATTTTCCCATATTTATAATTAAGCTACAATTGTTTTTGTCCTCATACTTTAGTTGTGACATCTTTTCTACCCACAGAGGTTATCTTTTATCCACCAAATTGCATGTACTTTATACATTAGCAGAGTTATACCTGCGCACACTCTGTTCAAAATTACAAAAAAACTTATAGTAATTGTGGGTGTTATTATTTTTGGAATCGTTCATTCTTAATATATTACAGCTTATTTCAAGACTTCTCAGTACAAGTTATTATACATTTGAAATTATTCGTTTCCTTCCAATATATGCCCAATCTTAACTAACTCAGTAAGCGATCCGATAGAAAAGTTGACTCCAGTTAATGTGCTCCCATCCCATCCATTGATTTATAGTATGTTCTCCTCAATTAGAAGGAGAGTGCGTATATGTGCAGTGCCATGTTATGTTGTTTATATTTCTAATTCGGTGTGTCGTGTGTTTCATTTTGCGATAAATTTGCTAGTTACCAATCTGACTAAACTGCCTACACTTCTTAGAGCAAATGTGCCTGGTTTTCGCCGGACTTATAAGAAGTTATAGACAATACATAGCCAATGAGAGGCAATCAATACATGATTAGAGGCATGACGTTTTAGTCCTCTAGAATGACAACGCATGGTCATTGTGTGCGTAACATCGTAACGTGATGATCATTGTGTTACCATATAACATAAGGAAGGCTCTCGCCTTGTTTCCCTATCTAATTGCATAAGAAATCTGTTTATTTATTGGCAACTTTACATTTGCAATTTGTCTGACTGTCTGGTCTTCCGCTACCCCCTAGGGAGGTGCAGGTAGGGGCCTCGGGGCGTCCCAGCATCTACTCCGGGGGCAACAAACCCTAGGTGGCTAGATCAAATCGCCTAAAAAATAAAGAAACACTACTTAAAGCTTCCTAATCGTTGTACCATACTTGGGGACAGATTTATTTGTTTTATGTTTTTTTCCGTTTTCTTTTTTTTTCTGTACCAAGTATATCACTTACAAACATTCCTATGCTAGTTGGTGTCCCTGTCGACCTCAGAGTGGGGGCATAGCAGATGGCTAACGCAATTTGTCGCAAAATAACTCTATTTTTGACATACTAGTCGTTATAGCGGTGGAGTTGACCGTCCCGCCACTAGATGGCGGTGGTAAGGTTCCATCTGAGGCACTGCGCGTACGCACTCACAGATGGCAGTAACGTACAAGATTGTACCGCTTTCTTTTCACTGCTAGCTACAATAGTACTTTATACAGGGTTGACTCTTGACAAGAAGCACTCAGGACATGTTTTAATTGTTACATCGAGCAATCACAAAGAAATGATCTGTAGAAATTATCATTACTTTCTGGAAATATTGCCAACAATCTTGTAACAAGAAAATTGTCATAGTTATCGTCCTGTCTTTACACGATATTTCTAAAATATCCCTTCCATACGTACGAACTTATGGTGAATTTTTTTTTTCTATTACTGTTTATATTTTTTACATATATAATACCCTTATATATTCATCTTATACTTACAATTGTCAGACAGGTTTCCATTGAACGACGCTAGCACTGAAAAGACAGCAAACAATTGCACAATATGAAGACAATTACGCAACAAACCAGACAGACGGATATAATAATATACAAGTAATATTAATTTATATTGTAATTATATATACACATATATATATATATATATATATATAAATATATAAATATATAAATATTATGCTGATCTATTTGCGTAGCTGATATTTTTAAGGTTTAGTTTTTAGTAAATGAAAAAAATATGAAAACATAATTATAAAGTCCTGAAGTCAGCCTAAGTATTATTATTCAGTTATTTTGTTATGGTATTGAATTGTAAGGATTCTATCATATGGTTAGTGTAATTAACAGTTGGTAGTGGGACGTCGATGATGTAGATGTTTCACGTTGGTTTGTACAGCCATATGTAAACATGACGACATAGGGTTAGGCGCAGATGGTCAATTGACCGAGACCGTATCCAAATTGTTATAACGAAAGGATTCCAGAATGTTCCTTAGAATGTTTATATAGTAAATAGAATTATATACGAATCCAAACGTTTGTTTAAAGTAAATTTATATATAATCGTAGATACATAGAAACAATTAACGAACACTGTGGCCGTTGTGTTGCGCATGGACTGACCTAAGTTTTTAATTTTTCATATTTCTCCTCATGATTGGTGCTGATTCTGCTGGTACCTCTTTATCTGTTAATAGTGTTGAGACAAGTGAATTATACGTCTCGCCAGCAATTGCTGCAAGTTGCTTGTGTACTATAAGAATACATCTTGGAATGGCAATTGAATTGAGGCGCTGTAAAACAACGGTATCACCCAGTAGTGGGTAATAACTTTCTCATTTTTTTAAACTCAGATGAGATGCCCCAAAAACTGTTTTTGTTGTAAAAGAGCTGGTGTAAAACGTCGTCAGATGTTTCGATGTAATTTATAATAATTATTTTATACACTTCACTAGAATCGGCACCATTCTTGATGTAAATTAATCGGTAGTTATCGTTTTTAAGATTAGTTAGTATAAGTAACCTATTTAGATGTTTCAATATTTATTTACATCTCTCTTTTATTCAGTACTCAGTCGACAGACCGATAGTTCAATATATATATATATGTACAGATGCATTCAATATGCAATTCCTACTAACGTACATTTAATATTGTTATGTACAGTCAGTTTCATAAAGTTACACATATATTCAATTTACAGAGTTATCGAGATTGTTGTTACGTAGAAAATAAGTATATTTTCTAACGTTCTGCATATAAATATATACACATGTTGATCAGATTATTATTGAACATTTAGAGAGATATAATAATATATTATTCTTGCTACAAAATGATAGTGAAGTGTTGATGTTTTAAGCATCGTTGACGGTGCGGTGTATGAAACTAACTGTACTGTGAACAGTTTTGGTAAATTGTAAAATGTATAAAAACACAGTGATTTTAAGATATTTCTTTTTAATTTGCGATTCCAAAAAACATATATTGTTCTTTTATTTTATCTGAGTGTATTTACTCATTGAGAGGTATCATTGCTCTTGTTTCGTTCTGATATGTACTGTTTTATTAAGCTTATTGTCTAACAAAATGTTTTGAGCACGCTTTACTTATGTTTCTAATCATTCATTCATTTGTAAGTTTGTCATACAATTGAATGTAATTTTTATTATGATGTATCAATAGCTGGGGACAGTTTTATGTTTTATCACTATAAATGATAAAGAAAAATCAACTGCACAATTATTTGTTTATCGCACAATTACTTTACTAACGTGTTCAATGTATGCTTCAGTGTTTCAACTAACAATTTATTGTGAAATTGATTGGATTTTGAATCTTTTTCTAAGTACAAGTTCAGATTGATTATAATTATTAAATTTCTATGTATGTATAATATTTGTCTACATGATATCTGTATTCTAGGTAGTTGCTAAATCGCTGCTAGAACATACATACAGTGAGGTATATATAGAAGTCGGTATCGCAAATATTTTTCTCAATATGAAAGGTCACGACAGTTAAGCTGGTCCAATATTTATTGGATTGCGCCAGTAACGCCACGCTAATGAAATTGAGTGGAGCGATTCGAACCTACGTACGTTCGTACACGGTGTTACCTGTTACAAAGTTGACTAACTAACTGTCGTAGCCGGTGGTAATGATCGCAATAAAAATCTCAGTGTTGAAACTGAAAAGAGAACAATATTTTTAATATATCATTTTAAATTGATGTAAAGATTGTTAGATGTTCATTCAGATTTTACGAGTATTTGTGAATTGTTCAATATAAATTTATGTAGCCTATTTCGTGTAATCTATACGTTTCCTCTGCATGCGATAGTGGTCGGATATTACTTATCTCTCTATTCCACGTTCCTCAGGGATGATTCTCTATTCCAATAAGTATAGGTGCCTGTGTAGAGTTGAACGGTAAATAAATATGATCTTCAAAATATACGAAACAGATCTAAACAGAATCTCAGACGCGGTCATGTTCATTGACGTCGGACGAATTATTTCAATATATAGATAGATATACTTAAATAGATTTATATGCAGTTGGTTCTATAGTCAGTTTTGTAGTATTGCAACTATCTGATACTGCTTTACGATGTTTTACGACGTCAGATGGTTCGCTTTATGACACGTACTCAGTGCGGCGCGGGGGCATCGATGCAATGCAGTAAGCTATAAGCCGAGCGCCGAACAATTGTTAGATGAATCCGAAGGGATACTTGGTGTAGTTTCATCCCTTAAAGTTGGCGACGCTTTCACAACACTGTTATTGTTGAAAAAACGTAAGTCAGCGTGCATAGTGCGCGCAGTGTGCGTGCGGCCAAGCGGAACGGCAACGTCGCCCGCCCCAAAACGAGCTTCCAACGTTGAGCCAATGTAGCGAGCTTTTGTCATTTCCATAGTATATAGTTTATGTTAGTTTAGTTACCTGTTACAAGATACAGCAAGCGAACCATTTGATTCTGTCTGTATAGATAGGTTAATGTCTAATGTTAGATAGGGTTCAGTTAAAATGTCACCCGACCCGATCCGACGCGACGCCCCAGTCAGTCAGTCAGTCAGTCACTGGTTCTATTGCACACCGCTAATTGATTTTATTTATGGTCTTCCAGTACTTATATAAGCAGTAGACGACTATAATACGAAATGTAATTTGGCCTTTATGTATTAAAGTATCAAGATACAGTATGTAGTGGCACCGTACTAGTTAGTATATTGCTAGCATTATATGGGTGCTAATTTTTACATACATAATGAACTAGGACGCTTCTGGTCATATGGTTGCGGCGCAGGCAGCCTCTTGTCTCGTATACATCGTACGCCTATATATTTACGTCTCTCGTCTTACATCTAAGTAGCTTCGTTTCCGCTCTTTCCCACTTATGCTTAAGAAGCCTACTTCCTCGTTTATAATCACTGACTCATTAATTGTCACTGATATAATCTATGGTGCATAAAATGTCCTATGGGATTAAAGGATTGTTAGATAATAAATATCTTACTTTTATCAACTAATAGTTTGTAAAGCATATATATTATTTGATATGTACGTAAAATTGTACGGTATCTTAGAGTATATATAATCTGTAAAACCCAGGGTGCTATTGATTCGGGACGTATGCGGCGGCCCCCCCCGGCGGCACCTGTATCTAACACCGCTTAACGTTACACCTATGTCTGAATGTCAGGTGCGAGATGGTTATGATGATAACATATACATACGAGTACATTCGCCTATAGAATTACAAAGTTCGTGTTAGTTAGGTTCCTTCGTATAAACACTAATTACTGTTAGGGCCGTTAGCCCCATGATGGGGCGCCGCATCTACGATAATTTAGCACTGCACTATCACAACTTCGCAGCTTTGCACTCTGTATTC